GGCATGGGCGCATAACCCAGTACGCACATTCCATCGTGGGTATCTCGTCGATCAACGCGTGGGCTGACGCCCTACCGCCACTCTCCGGCGCCAGAACTGGGGCTCCGCTTCTCCCGCGGTCGCACGTTGCGCTCGACGTGCGGCTCTCGCAGGTCGACCTTACGAAGCCGGGCTGGATCGCGGACGACCCCCAGATCGCCAGGATCCTGGAGGTCTCTCGACCCCACTAGCAGCTCGGGAGTGCCGTCCCACCGACGACTGGCTCCTCACGTCCAAGCCCTGTCTGACCGCTTTCGCTGGTTCTGGTTCTGGTTCTGGTGAGGGGTGCGCAGGTCCCGAAGGCCGCCTCTGGTGGCCTGTAGGTGGGTGGTACAACAAAATTTTAGGAACGGACAGGCTTGGAGGGGGTCTTGGGTCACGGGTGGGGGTGGGGGGCCGAATGGGGGCAGGGGGGGAGGTCGATTCCAGACAGAAGGAGGACAAGAAACTACCCAAACCGTTCTCGCTAACGGGCACGTGTGGGTCGCCCTCTAGGTCACCTCACCGCTTGACGACGACAACCGGGTGGGCATCGCGCATCCCTGCAGGGGGTGCCCCCGCGGCAGGCCAGACGCACCGCCACCCCGCCAGCGGAGCAGGAGCCCACTCATCTAGGACCTCTGGAGGAGCGCGGCCCCCCTCGTCGTCCTCCTCCTCCTCCTCCTCCTCCTCCTCCTCTTCCTCCTCCTCCTCCTCCTCCTCCTCCTCCTCCTCTCGTCGACGATGACCGCCACCGAAGGCCCCATTACACCCAACACCCCGCTGCCGCTCGACTTCCCGCCCGACGGCATCCAGGAATGCCGCGCCCAGGAGCACGTCCACTCCCTCCTCTGCGCGCACAGCGACCACTGGAGGTCGTGGGGATCCATGGCCTCCCCAGCCCCCGTGCTGATCGCTCTGCCCACTCTCAGGCGGGAGGTCCGCCCTCGCAGCCACCGAGCAGGCCGCCGCGCAGCCCGGTGGGTGCCGCGCCGGACCAGCTCGCCGCGACTGCGGCGGCCGAGCTGCCTGGGCCGCTCGCCCCCTCCCCCGCTGGCCCCCGGGTGGCGCTCGGCCTCCCGCCGGGGCGCCGCGCCCCCCAGGGCCGACGCTCCGCCCGCCGGGCCCGGCCCCACCGGAGCCCCCCGGGGAGCAGCGTCCCGAGGCCGAGGGCCTGGCGTTCAGTCGGGCCGGTCCCCCTACAGGGGGGCTTTCGACGACAAATAAGAAACACCCAACAGAATAGCCCCAAGGTGGTCCAAAACTAGTCGGGGGAGTATTTTTTGAAGATTCTTTGGCCTTTTTGGGGTATTTTTTCGGCATTTTTTATTTTTCGTCGAAAATCCCCCTGTAGGGGGACAGGCCCGACATAAGCCTGGCGGGCCCCTGCCCACCTCTTGCTCGCCCCGTGCCGGCGGCGTCGCCCGGCTGCCCGCGGGGGCTGCGGTGCACGATGCGATGGTCTCCCTGGCCCACGCGACGCTGGCGCCGCCCGTATGGGTCTCCCGCCGGCCGCCCGTCGTGGTCGTGGTCGTGGTCGTGGTCGTGGTCGTGGTCGTGGTCGTGGTCGTGGTCGTGGTCTTGGTCGTGGTCTTGGTCGTGGTCGTGGTCGTCGTCGTCGTCGTCGTCGTCGTCGTCGTCGTCGTCGTCGTCGTCGTCGTCGGCGTCATTCATCGTGGTCGTCGTCGTTATTTATCGTCGTCGTCGTCGTCGTCGTTTTCGTTGTCGTTGTCGTCGTCGTCGTCGTCGTCGTCGTCGTCGTCGTCTTTGTCGGTGTCGTCGTAGCTGTTGTCGTCTTTGTCGACGTGCGTATCGTCGTCGTCGTCGCCGTCGTTGCTGTCATCGTCGTCATCGTCGTCATCGTCGTCGTCGTTTCCTCGTCGTACTGCGTTGTCCATATCGTAAGGCAGAGTCATCAATATGCTGGCCAGCGTGAACCCCAAACATAGTTCTTCGAGCACTATACGTTGTGCAATCCATGTGTATGCAGTCTATGTGCTGCAATCTATGTTGTGCAATATGTTACGTGGTATATGTGATGTACAATGTATGTTGTGCAGTCTGTTGTATGCAATACATGTCGTGCGATCTATGTTGTGCAATTGTGCAATATGTTGTGCAATCTATGCTGAGCAATATAGGTTGTGCAATGTATGCAGAGAAACCTATGCGGTAATATCTTTGCGAAGCAATACCGGTAAAACGCTATATGTGATGCAACATATGTGGCGCGATCTACGTGGTGCCATCTATGTTGTGCAATCTATGTTGTGCAATCTAGGTGGTGAAATATTTCTGGGGCAATCTATGTTTAGCAATCCGTGTTGTGCAATCTGTTGTGTGGCCGTATTGTCGTCGTTATCATCGTCACCAACATCGCTACTATCGTCATGTTTGCCGTTGCCGACGTCGCCATGATACCGCGCCCGCCCGAGTCACATACACGCACTGAAGGGCCCGCGAGTCAGCCTGGCCTGCGAGACGCGCTGGCAAGTCCTCAGCGGTTAGCGCCACCGCGGCCGCGCGGTCGCGCCAGACTAGCTTGCCGCTTTGCGCGAAAGCCTGCGAGCGCTAGCGCGGCCGCAGCGAAGCGCCAGGCAGCGCCAAGGAGCCGTCGCCATCGAGGACGATTGGGTTTGGGTGGGTGGGTGGGTGGAATGGGTGGGATGATTGCGCGAGCAGTGGAGTTGACAACTCACTGCGAAAAACATTGCACAAACTAGGCTGCAACACATATTTTGCGTTACGTAGCTTGCACCACATATATTTTGCAACATATATTGCGCAACGTAGAATGGTGTATGGCGTGAGTTCCCGCAGTCAATTTGCACGGGCATTTGAGCGGGATAGATGGACAGCGCGCAGCGGACAAACACTCACCCAGGCCGAACGATAGTCCTTATGAGCCCCAGATGCCGAATTCAAGCCCTCGTTCACTTTGCGGTCACGGACGCATGATATCGTCTCAGTGACGGAAAGACCCTCCCCGTAAGGGGTTGGGGGTTGGCATGTATGATCCCGGGTCGAGCACAGGCCCCGTCCCCACCAGATGTGATGGGTCCCATGGTTCCACAGGCCCCCCCCCCAGATGGGATGGGGGGGACGACGACGACGACGACGGCGATGACGGCGCAGACGCAGACGCCGACGCCGACGCCGACGCCGACGCTGACCGAAGACGACGACGACGACGACGACGAGGACAACGAGGACGACGACGAAGACGACGAGGAGGACGACGACGACAAGGACGACGAGGACGACGAGGACGACGAGGACGACGAGGACGACGACGACGAGGACGACGAGGACGACGAGGACGACGAGGACGACGACGACGACTAAGACGACTAAGACGACGAAAGACCCCACACTCACAGTTGGGGGGCACCTTCACCCACCACCATGCCACGCGCACAGGGCCACGACCATATGGGGGGGGGCGATCCCATTCGCGAAGCCTTCGCGAGGCTCACGGGCGTACCTATCCACGGGGGGTGACCGATTCCATTAGCATTGGGGGGAGGGGCGGAGCCCTGGATTATATATCACCGCGGTTTGCCCGGGGTCGGCGCCGGCCGCTGCATCGTATCTGCAGCACGGGTGAGGCTTATACGCGCTTGAGGTCCTTTCCGTATGGGCTCGGCGAGCGTCTGCAGGGATGCGCTCCGTGGCCAGCCCCGTGGCTCAGCGGTGCCCGAACCCGGGCCCGACCTCCCGAGCCCGAGCCCGGAGGGAGGAGGGAGGAGGGAGGAGGGAGGAGGGGGAGGAGGGAGAGGAGGAGGAGGAGGGAGGAGGAGGGAGGAGGGAGGAGGAGGGAGGAGGAGGGAGGAGGAGGGAGAGGAGGAGGAGGAGGAGGTGAGGCGGAGGAGGAGGAGGAGAAGTAGGAGGAGAGGAGGAGGAGAAGGAGGAGGAGGAGGAGGAGGAGGACGAGGAGGAGGAGGAGGAGGTGCCCCTGCGAGAGACCTCGCGAGGCCGCGCGCCCCTGCGATGCCCGCGGCGGGCGGCGGCGCCCAGGGCGCGGCCGTCGGCCGCTCCCTGCCACCCGGCCTCGCCTGGGAGCCGGCGTGCACGCACGCGCGGCCGAAGGCGCGGCCCGCGGAGCCTACCGCCTGCCGCTTCGACCTGGCAGACGTCGCGGCCGCGGACTTCCGGCAGGGCAGCTACGAGGTGGCGCACTACGCCCCCGCGGTTTGCGGTCTGGCCTTCGGGCCGCCGAACTTGGGCCAGGTGTCGAATAATAATAATAGTAGTATTAATAATAATAGTAGTACTAATAGTAGTAGGAGTAGTAGTAGTAGTAGTAGTAGCAGCAGTAGCAATAGCAGTAGCAGTAGTCGTAGTAATAGTAATTATTTGCATTATTTGTATTATCATCATTCTTCCTCTTGTTCTTCTTCTTCTTCTTTGTTATTACATCAATAGTAGTAGTAGTAGTAATATGAAGAATAAGAATAACAATGCGAATGATAATGGCAGCACTCATCACAATAATAATAATACTAACAACAATGAGAGTAACAATATTCATACTACTAATAATGAAAATAATTACAAACAATGGTAAGATGACTAATCATAAGACTTATAATGATACTAATCATACTGATGAGAAGACAACGCATGAACATAAACTTTTTGCGCTCGGCGCGGGTTTCTTGGATCTGCGCTGCGCGCTCCGCGCGCCAGGGAGGGGGGCCCAGCGCAGATCCAAGACATCCGCGCGGAGCACAAACAGTTTCTGTTTGTGGCGCTCCTTCTTCTGAGGTGGTGCGCTTCTGCCAGGACCTGACTGCGAGGCTTCAGCTCCACGCGGGCGCGGGGCGCGTGGTCTCCCAGTACGGGCCCACGCCGGCCGAGAGGGCGAACTCCGCCGTACTGCTGGGGGCGTTCCTGATCCTGTGCGAGGGGTGGCCCGCCGGCGCGGTGGCGGGAGCGCTGGAGGACGAGGCGGTGCTCCAGTTCCCCTGCTCCTGGGCCAGGCCATCGGAGGAGGATTAAGTCGGGCCTGTCCACCTACAGGAGGAATATTCAAAAATAGTCAAAAATAGTCGGGGGACGATCTTCTGAGGCATTTTTTGGCCACTGTGAATATTTTTTTGTGTATTGTACAGGCTTACGCCACATCCGCCGACCCCTTCTGTGAGTGTTGCGAGGCCAGGAGTTTCTGGCCAGCGGCGTCTTGTGTGAGGGTGCGGTGTCGCGCGCGGGTGGTGGCAGATACGTAGGGGGTCCAAGTGTTTGCGTGATGCCGGTGGTCTGGGGCGTGTTTTGCGAGCGCCTTGCGCGCTGTGCACCCTGGTGCGGGGTGTCCTTCTGCGAGGTCGGCCTTTCGACCCGCAACCAAGTGGAGGACCACCAGAAGACGAAAAGAGCAAGAGTAGTGTGCGGAAGCTGTGATCAGCGAGGCATCACCGCGAAAGATGTGGCAGATGAGTCGAAACGGGTGAAGAGGCTGTTGACGTTCGCAGCGCGCACGTAACAGTTCGCGCGGCAGCAGCACATTAGCGCCGAGCAAGATAGTGAGCACGTCGCGAGGAAGAGTAAGGCTGTATGCGCGGAGTGCATTGCAGTTGGAGCGCTCCTGGAGCGCTCTTGGGGCCCTCTTCGGGGCTCTCTTGGGCCGTCTTCGGCGCCTCTTGAGCCGTCTTGGCGCCCTCTTGGGCTGTTTTGGTGCCCTCTTGGAGGCTTCTTGGGCCGTCTTGGGGCGGTCTTGGGGGCCTCTTGGGCCGTCTGGGAGCGTCGGAGAGCCCCAAACGTATGTTTTACGAAAGGAACGGGCCAATTTTTGCGTCCAGAGGCCCTCTTGGGACGCATCTTGGATGCCTCTTGTGGCCTCATGGGGGCATCTTGGGCCGTCTGGAGGCCATCTTCGGTGTCTTTGATCGCTCTTGGACCGTCTGGGACCATATTGAGCTCTTTTGGAGGCCATTCGGAGCGCTCCTGGAGCGCTCTTGGGGCCGTCTTCGGGGCCCTCTTGGGCCGTCTTGGACGCCTGTTGGGCCGTCTTGGGGCCCTCTTGGGGCTATCTTGGGACCCTCTTGGAGGCTTTTTGGGCCGTCTCGGGCCGGTCTTGGGGGCCTCTTGGGCTGTCTGGGAGCATCGGAAAGCCCAGAAGGCGAATTTGTGGAAATTGTTCGTTTTATGAAAGGAATGGGCAATTTTTTGCGCCTAGGGACCCTTTTGGGGCGCATGTTGGAAGCCTCTTGGGGCCTCGTGGGGACCTGTTGGGCCGTCTAGGAGGCCTCTTAGCCCGTGTTTGGGCCATGTTGGGCGTTTTGGAGCGCTTGTTTGGCGTCTCGGGGCCCTCGTGGGCCGTCTTGGAGGCCGCTTGGGGCCTTTTTGGACCGTCGCGTGGGCCGTTTGTGCGCTTTTGGCTGGTTTTGGGACCTTTTGCTCCCCCATGGCGCGTTCGGCGGTGGGTGCCCCGGGGCCAGAGGGGGGGGTCAAATCTCCGGTTTGGGGTCCCTGGGGGGGGTCATGGGGGGTGAACTATCTCACACGCCTAGAGACCCACAAGGGGTCGGCGGATGACGGGAAGCGCGTACGAGGAACGAGGAGCGTGGACCGTTTGTCTCAAAACATTCTTTATGTGAGGCTCCGCGCTGCACTTCGGCCGGGCGTCGGCGGATGACGGGAAGCGTGTTCCAGGAACGAGAAGCGAGCTGGACGTTTTGGCTGAATCCCCCTCATATCAGTAAGAGATCTCTTAACTATAGGGGGTGGCGGGGCGCACGGTATCGAGGCTTAGCGGATTCTTCGGGATGGCGATTTTATGTGAGACATCCTCGCAAAAATGAGATCTTCGCGACACCGCGTTTAACAAAAACAAGCGTTTCGCGAGAGACATCCTCGAAAAGTTGATGACAGCGAAATTTCGCCGTCTATGAACATTTGCGTTTCGCTTGGGACATCCTCGAACACATGAAATGACGACTGAAGTTTTTAATTAACTCTTATGTTAAGAATTGCGACTTCGCTAGGGATATCCTCAGAAAACGAGCGGCAGCACGGCGGACCAGAACGAAGAGCACGGCAGAACATTTGCATTTCGCTAGGGACATCCTCAACAAAATGAAATGTCCTCAACGTCATCTTGGTATCGTTCTCGAAGTACCTTAAGATGACGAAATGAGAGGCCAACAATCGACATCCTCAAAAAGTGAAAACATACACCAGCATCGATTTGAAAACTGCTGTTCTTACATATCTTTGACATTGCTTCTGCAAAGGCTTCCAGACGGCCCAAGGCAGCCTTCAAAAAATGTCGATTTCGGTAGGGACATCCTCAACAAAAATGATGCGTGCGACATCGCATCGTAATGATTTTAGGAGGGCATCAGGAAGCAAAAGAAGGCCACAACATGGCTCCAATAGCGCCTTTACAGTTGCTGAAAATAGTGATTTCGCTAGGGACATCTTCAAACAAATAACACATCGAACAACATCGTTTTGAAAACTGCTGTTTTAACATCGTCTTGGGATCGCTCCTGAAAAGGCTTCTAGATGGTTTAAGCCAGTCATCTAAAAATGACGATTTCGCTAGGGACATCCTGAACAAATGAATGTGTGTAACATCGCACTGTACCGGTTTTGGAAGGCATCAGGAAGGCCCCCAAAGGCCCAAAACAAACCCAACTTTGACCCTCAGGAGCGCCGTCGAGACGATCCAAAATGGCGATTTTGTCTGAGACATCTTTACAAACATGAAATGTTCACAACATCGATTTCATAAAAAATGAGCGTTTCGCCTGAGACATCCCTTAAACATGGGAAGCCGCGAATTCGACAGATGTTCAAAAACTAGCGTCTCGCCTGAGACATCCTAACAACAATGATATCTTGGAGTGGCGTTTTTACTACCTCTCGTGTTAAACATCGCGCTCTCGCTGCATACATCCTCAACAAAAATCGGGCGGAGCATGGCCGGCGAAAAAAGAGCAAGGCAGAGAATGAGCAGTTCTGCCGTGCTCCTTCGCTCTTGACGTCTATTCTGCCGTGCTCTTTCGTTTCTGGGGTCTATTCTGAAATGCTCCTTGTTTTTTTTGTGCCGTGCTCCTTCGCTCTTCGGGCCTATTCTGCCATGCTCCTAGCCATTTTCTGTCACAATCCTTTGTTCTTTGGGCTTATGATGCCGTGCTCCTGGTCGTTTTCTGCCGTGCTCCTTAGCTCTTGGGGCATATTCTGCCGTGCTCCTTCGCTTTCGGGGTTTATTCTGCCGTGCTCCTTGTCTTGTTCTTGCATACTCCTTCCTTGGGGCGTAATATGCCGTATTCTTGCATCTATCTTGCCGTGCTCCTTAGCTCTTGCGGTCTATTCTGCCATGCTCCTGGTCACTGGTCGCGTTTTGCAATGTTCCTTCTTTCCTGGCGCCTATTCTGCCGTGCTCCTCAGCTCTTGGGGTCTATTCTGTCGTGCTCCTGTTCTTCTTTCTATCATGCTCCTTCGCTCCTGGGGCCTAGTTTGCCGTGCTCCTTCGGTCTTGGGGTCTATTCTGCCGTGCGCTTTGTCTTGTTTTGCCGTGGTCCTTTGCGATTGAGGTTCGTATTCCTAGTTCTTTTTGCCGTGCTCTTTAGCTCTTGGAATTGATTTTGCCGAACATAGAGGGGCACGGAAGAACACGCACGGGATTACGGCAAAACACACAGGAGCACGGCAGCACACGCAGGAGCATTGCAGAACAAGTAGGAGCATGGCAGAACACACGAGAGCGCGGCAGAATGCACAGGAGCACGACAGAACACACAGGAACACGGCAGACCACGCAGGAACACGGCAGAACACACAGGAACATTGCATATTTCGTTTCACATGCTTGGTGGACGAAACGATTCTTCTCAAGGAATGAGTTGGAATAAAGCCCTGCAGATCGTCCTAGATGGTCTATTCTGCCGTGCTCCTGGTTTTTTCTATCGTGCTCCTTCGCTCCTGGGGCCTATTCTGCCGTGCTCCTTCGCTCTTGGGGCTATTCTGCCGTGCTCTTTGTCTTCTTCTGCCATGGTCCTTTGCTCTTGGGTTCCGTATTCCTGGTCCTTCTCTGCCGTGCTCTTTAGCCCTTGGGGTTGATTCAGCCGAACATAGAGGGGCACGGCACAACACGCAGGAGCACGGCAAAACAGACAGAGCACACAGGAACACGGCAAAACACACATGAGCACGACAGCACACGCAGGAGCATGGCAAAACAAGCAGGTACATGGTAGAGAACACACGGGAGCACGGCAGAACACAGGAACATGGCAGAACACGCAGGAGCATGGCAGAAGAAACATGGACATGGCAGAACACACAAGAGCACGGCAGAGCTGCACCCGTAGCCATTTTGGCTAAAGGCCATGGAGCACCCGACGACCGCGAGTCGTCCGCGGCGTTTCGAGCGCGAGGGGCTCCTCGCTTTGGGCCAGTGCACTCGGTTGTTCTTCTTGCTTTCGCTGCGCAGAAGCGCAATCGCTCAGACCGTGCGCCTGGGGCCATGGCGCGCTCCTCGCGAGGCGGCAGCTGGGCCAAGCGCAGCAGGCCGTACTGGATGTGCAGCTGCGGAGGTTGGAACTGGGACTGGCGCACCTCTTGCCTCAGCTGTGGGTATGCGGCACCGCCCTGGGCCACGGGGGCAGCGCCGGCGGCGGAGAAGCCCAATGCCGACAAGGACGGCTGGGTGGACCAGCCGAGGGGGCGCAAAGCCCAGCGGCAGGCCCGCGGCGCGGCTTCGCGAGCGGCTTCCGCCAACTTGCAGACCTCGGCTTCTGCAGCCAGTGGAGCGCCCAGTGGCGGTGGAGTCACGGCGATCGAGAGGCTGCAGGCGACGGTCGAGCAGCTGGAGGCGCTGCAGGCGGGGCCGCCCGAGGGCGTTGACGGCAGCTCCACCAGCGTCGTGGCCAGCCAGCTGGAGTCCAAGCGGGCAGAGCTGGCCAAGGCCCAGCAGGCAGCAGCGGAGCAGAAGGCCGCCTCCATGCCGAGGTCGACGCTGCTGCACAAGGAGGCC